TTCCTAACAGCAGAGCAAGTGGGAGGTGCCTCTTTCCTCTACTCTGCCATTTTGTGATCCCTGCTTACCTCCCTCTGTCACCCTACTCCTTTCTCTCTGCCCTCTCACCTCATTGCTCTGACCCCCTTTTCCTATCAACGTTGCTTCACTGGAGGGGGAAAAGCACAAGTATGTAGGCAAGTGTAACATCCTCTGCCATAGAATAAAGTCCCCGACTCTGGAAAGTTTATGTCTCCATGTGGGGTACCCTGTGTCTGCAAATATAACAGGGGTTTCTTGATGTAGGGGACAGGAATTTTGTATAAGCATATTTGTTACCAAGAAAAAGACAGGCATGGTCCTTGGATGAACAGAATGCCAGTGTGAAGCTATCATTTGTCAGGAGCTGCCCTGGATGCAGAAGCCTTGAAGTCCTGATGCACTGGGTTCTGACCAATTATTGCCTTCAGTCTGGCATGGCAGAGCCAGGTCCTGGTAACTTGGGTGTTACCCGCTCAGACAATGAAGAGTGGCTCCAGGTGTAGGTGTCACCCGTGGGGGTTGAGTTACACTCACCTGTTCCTTTGTAAACCTGACCCCTTACCTCATTTGAATGGCTTCTCCCCAATAAAAGGGTTCAGCGTGTGCTCCTCACTCTTTCTTGCCTATCTTGCCCGCCTTGTGGGAGCTGCCCCTGAGGAGCAGTTACTGAATCCAAAGAAAAGATACTTTCTGTGCTGTGTCTTTATTTATTCCCCAGATTCACTTAGAGTGACCCTGATTGGTTCAGATGTGTTTTGCGATGACAATCATTAACATTTTTACTCTTTCCTACAAAAATGTGGATTACTCTATATGAATTAAGCAATGATGTTGGGTCACACATAACATGTAAATCACAGGTGGGAATAGAGGTGCTCATTACAAGAACACTGAGTTAAGGGGATGGATGCCTGGGTGCAACTTCCCTGTGAAAGAGAGAAATTGGGAAGAACTGAATTGGGAGGATGAGAACATTCCTCTGTGTGTGTATCTCTGTCCTCTGTATTGTGCATTTGAGCAATGGGGGTGTCTTCACAGAGGAACCCGTGATACAAGGCTAGTCAATGAGAACATTTTGAGCAGAAGCTCAGAGTAACCCAAGGCCTGTGTTGCTGCTGGCAGCAAAGGATCAGTATTCACTCATCCAGCATCATGATGGCTTTGTAGAACTTCACTCCTGTGAGTAGCAGGATTCAACAGTACTTCTCACAGTATCATAGGTTGGTTAGGCCATTCTGCCTGTCTAGTCTGAGCTCATTCCTAAGGCTACATCCATGAGGCAGCTTTATTAGAGTCCAGGATGTCCCAGATGGCCTTCCAACATGAGGGGTTACCTGGTGTATGGATAGGGGTGCCTCGGTTTTCTTCCAAAGACCTCTCATCCTTCCCTAGGCTGAGCAGGTGCCCTCAGGTCAGTGTCCAGGTAGGGGAAAGCAGAAGCTACCAGGATGTTTAGCACCTGAGTTCAGGAGGTGCCCAGCTTCCCTTCTATCACATTCTGTTGTCCAAAGCAAGTCACAAGGCCAGCTCAGATTCATTGAGGGTGGGGAAGAGAATTCCATTTGTGGGTGGGCAGAGATGTAAAAGATCGCAGCTGTGTTTTTAATCAAACAATAATGATTTACACGCTGAGATTCGCTCCCATGTGAAGGATGTTGCAGGGTTTCGGGGACAGTGAGCCGAGCCGGGCCTGGCCTTGGGACCCAGGGGTCTGCGCACGCGGTCGGCGCATGAGAATGAGTGCGACACCGCGCGGGGGCGCAACAGAGGGCTGACAGGTCCATGGCGTTCCTGAGCAACCGCAGTAGCGGCAACGCCTTCTCCGGCCTCCTGTTCTGGCTTCAGCTCCTCGGGCCTCTGCTCAGTGAGGCCTCAGTGGGTGCGGCCTGGCCGTGAGGTCCCGGTGGGTGCGGGTGGTGGTTGGGTGATGGGGGACTGGCCAGCGCTGTCTTGCTGCTCTCTTCTTCCTCAGGTAGGGGTTACAGACCCCAGGAACAGTCCTCAGCGACCTTGGCAGGCTCAGAGGCCCCAGCTCCTCCCAGACACCTGAAAATCCCAAAGATTCCACATCCTGCTGTAGCTCCAGCCCCAGCAGGGGCTCCAGGATCTGGGGCTACTTCAGAGCCCACAGTGGGACTATTCTTGAAATCCAATGGGGATTCTAATCCATTTCCAGATGTGCTTCCTTCAGGTAGCTTCTGGTGCCAGGGTTATACAGGCCTGCCTGGGAGTTGAAAGGGAACACAATCAGACTAGGGAGCATGGAGCCAGATCTTGTCTTGAAAGTGGGAGGGAGAGGACATCCACCTGCCTTGTGTGACAGGTGGATCCACCTGGGCATCTGTGTGTTGTGGTCATGGGGTTGGGGGACAATGGCTTCACTTCTAGTACCTTCTTTCCCAAATCATCCAGCATGTGGGCATAGAACTATGAGGATATACGGTGGAAAGAAAGCCCCACAGAGGAAGTGGCCCTGGCAGGTGAGCCTGCAGTCCTATAATAGACATGTATGTGGAGGCTCCCTCATCACCAACCGGTTAGTGCTCACTGCTGCCCACTGCGTGCTTAGGTGAGTATTTGGGTCTTTGGGTTTTGGCCCCTAATCAGGCTGTGTCCTGTCCCCATCTCTGGGGTTTCTTCCTCATCAGAAGCAGGTAATAGCCCCAGAATTTTTATTCAGTCTGGCATGAGACCTTAGCATTTGTATTTCTAATAAGTTTTCAAGGGATACTGGCCTGGAAACCACACTTGGAGAATTTCTGACGATAGTGGTTTTGGTGTGGGAGGGGATAAGGTTTGTAGAGAGGGGAGTGGTTGATGGCTCACAGTGGAAATTGGTTCAGGCCAAGAACCACCTGGAATGTGTAGACAGGGAATGTAGACCCTCTGGATCTCTATGAAGACCATGTCCTTTCCCCACAGCCAAACGCATTACAGGGTGATACTGGGAAACAATAAGTTGAATGAATTTGATGAGAACGCCGTTATGGTTCCCGTTAAAGATGTTTATCCTCATCAAGGTTTTGAAACTAAAAACCTGACAAATGACATTGCCATTGCTCTGCTGGCCTTTCCTGTGAATTATTCCCCATACATCCAGCCTATATGCCTGCCTGAAAGACCTTTCACAGTGAATGCTGAGACATTGTGCTGGGTGACCGGATGGGGCCGCATGGAAAGGAATGGTGAGCCTTTCACCAGGATGCAGAGGCGGGGAAGCCTAGTGGTTTGGAGTTGGGAAGTGATTCTCTAGTGGATTGGGTAAGGGATGAGGGGGGAGAATAGGTAGACAGTGAATACTTTACAACTGTTTTAGGAATTTTGATTGGTATATCAGGACCTGGAGGCATGGGTGACAGGTATGGTGGGTTCTTTCCAGGGTACGTTTGAGTCTGGGGTCAAGAGCTGCTAGCCAATTTAAGAGGTTTTTAAAGGCTTTACCTAGAGGGTTGAGCTTCTTATTCCCAGGGACATAGGTCAAGCCAAGACAGTAACTCTGTCAATGATGGTACAGGTGAACCATCCAGCTGTCTGAGAACCTTTATTCTAGAAGGCGATGTAGTGGTTCAGAACATCTTTCACCATTACCACTGATACTTGGTTGTCATTTCTCAAGATGATAAAGCTTTTCCTATTTCTTAGTCTTTTTTT